GTTGTTTGGCGGGTCCGGGCTGGGGATTCGAACCCGCCACCTTAGGTGTACGTGGCTGGTGCCTCAGCCGGTTGAGCTATAGGCGCCGAGCCCATACTTTTAACTTTTAAAATAAATTTCAAACCCACCAAAAAGTTGAAAGAAATGTTTGGTTACCACCCTTTACCAAGATTTATCAGTTAACATTTGTCATGGTTGTCTTCTCTTTTTTTTTTGAGACAGAGTCTCACTATGTCACCCTCAGTAGAAGGCTGTGGCATCAACCTCAAACTCTTGGGCTTAAGCAATTCTATTGCCTCAGTTTCCCAAGTGGCTGGGACTTCAGGCGCCCACCACAAACACCCAGCTATCTTTTGTTGTAGCTGTCGTTTAGCTGGCCCAGGCTGGGTTTGAACCCGCCATCCTCAGTGTATGTGGCTGGTGCCATAACCACTGTGCTAGGGTGCAGAGCCCCACAGTTGTCTTTCTAAATACATACTGATGTTGGTAAATCCTCTCTAAAACAGTGGTTCTCAACCTTCCTAACGCTGCGGCCCTTTAATACAGTTCCTGTGGGTTGCAACCCACAGGTTGAGAACCGCTGATCTAAAAGCTAGTCGCACACCTTGTGATTCTTTACTCCCAAATCACATTCGCATCTCCTAATAACATTCTGTGTAGTTAAATATCATATTTAAGAAAATTAACAATTCCCTAATCTTATATACAATTTATGCAAATTGAGTGTCCCAAATATGAAAATCCACACTCTGTAATGCTCCAAAATCTGAAATTCTTTGGTGCTGACATGGCACCCAAAGGAAGTGTTCATTGAAGCATCTCAGATTTGGGATTGTTTGGACCTGGGATGTTCAACCCATAAGTATAGTGCAGTGTTCCAAAATCCAAAAAAATCTGAAACACTTCTGGGTAAGGGACATTAACCTGTATTCTCTTTTCAAAATATTTTAGCATTTTAATTTAATTTTTGATCTGGGATCAAATAAAGGTTCATATGTTACATTTCTCATAAATCTCTTATTTTGCAACAGATCTGTATTTTGTTTTTCCTGACACTGAATTTCTTCAGCAGTCTGGCTAGTCCAGTAGTCTTAGATAGTGTCCTGCAGTTTGGATTTGTCATTTCCTCATGATTAGATGCATGAGGAATGAATATTAAACATTCTGGACAAGAGCCTGTGGGAATATGTACTTGCCATCACATCAGGAGGGTCATAGTGTTAGGTTGACCCACTATTGGTGATAATAAGCTTATTTGGTTAAGGTGGTGACTGCTAGATCTCTCCAAAGGTGTGTGTATATATATTATCCCCTTTGGAATCTAATTATTTGATTTTCCAAAATCATAATTAAATGTTCACATAAACGTTTTGGCATTCATTGATAGTCCTTGCCTTATTCATTGTTCCATGTTGTGTTGGGGATTCAAAACGGTAATGGGAATTCTTTCTCTCTCTTTTCTTTTTTTTTTTCTGAGACAGTCTGACTTTGTCACCCTTGGTTTTGAGTGTTATGGTGTCATAGCTCACAGCAACGTCAAACTTCTGGGCTCAATTGATTCTCTTGCCTCAGCTTCCTGAGTAGCTGGAATTACAGGTGCCCACCACAACCCCCAACTGTATTTTGTTAGAGACGGGGTCTCGCTTTTGCTCAGGCTGGTCTCAAACCCATGAGCTCAGACAATCCACCTGCCTTGGCCTCGCAGAGTGCTAGGATTAGAGGCGTGAGCCACTGCGCCCAGAGGGAGTCATTTTCTTGATGTTCAAATTGACCCCAAGTCTGGCCAGTAAAACCAGCTCTTGTGTCCTTTTGCTTTAGTCCTGTTTGAATTAGAGCATTTTCTTGCTTTCTAGTATAATAAGCCATCTCAGGTTCACATTTGGACTTTCTTTGCCCCAAACCTGAATCTGCTATTTCTTCAAGGAACCTCTAGTGTGGGGGAATAGAAACCAAGGTGCCCACTGCAGATGTTCCCATTGCAACTGCAGAGTTGCTGCTCCTAAGGCCTTTCAGTGTCCTAGATATATATAAATCATGAATTCAAAGAATCTTTGATTTTAAACGTTTTCTAGGTGATTCTGATCTATAGCTAAGGCCATGCGTAGTGAATCATCTTAGTCATCTTTACTATTGCTCTTGTATTTGAAAATACCATGAATTTTACATACACCCTTACCCAGAGGAAATGGATTTCAGAAGGAATGGGGTTCTGATCTTGGTTTTGCTACCAACTATGTAATGGAGCAAGCTAACTGACCCTTTTGTAGCCTGACTTTGAAACAGGTGAATAGGAGGATCCAGTGAGATCTGAAGGGTTAAACTATTTTGTAAACTGATGTACCGGGCACAAGTTTGGGAATGCACTTACCAAAGATAGATTTTAGTTCGCTATGGGACAATTTGCTGAAGCTTTCAGGAGGCAGCTGTACTTTAAGCAGGCTACCTTAAAGAAGCCAGCTGCAGCAGCTAGTAAAGCATCATCTTACTTCACGTGTAATAAACTCAGTATTACATGCCTGAGGAGGGAGGAGGACTGAGGAGGACTGTTTCCTGCCTTACAGATAGAGAGACTGGGACCCAAGAAGAGCTAAATAACTTTCCCGGGATTCGATTGCAAGCCAGTAGTCTAGTGTGAGATGGACTATTGCGCAGCTTTAGGTCTGTAACCTGCTGTGTGTTGGTGGGTTCATGAATTTTGACTTTGAGGATCTGAAGGGATTGAGCAGGAAGAGAACAAAAGACCCTTACATGCATTAGTAAAGACAAAAACCCAATTCAGTTCATTGAATTCTGTGCTCATAATCTGCCTCTGGAGGGACAAAGTGATGCTGACCGGACTAACATTTGGATTCTAGGGTGACCAGTGCTCCCACATCCCCTGCTGTGGCATCATATTGGTGTCTGTGTGGGCCCCTTCTGGGGGCTCACGCTCAGCCTGGGCTTTTCATGCCAGACAGGCCCAGGGCAGATTGCTTAGTACTGAGTAATAGGGCCTTCCCTCATCTTCATCTTTCCTCCCCCCGCCCAAAAAGCACAGTTGGTGTGGAGCCCTCCCCACCTTGCACTGAAATTCTCAAACACATGTCATCTGTAAAGAAAAGTTTGATCGATGGTTGTTGAATGTGTGACAGTGTTGTGGCTGGAAACTGACTAGTCATTCAAACATTTTTGGTTGCTGTGAGCAGAGAGTAGAGACAAGAGTTGGGGGTCACTAGTATTGCTGTAGAAAGCAGCCTTTTAGGACCATTGAGTCAGCACCTCAAATGTCTTTAAAAAAAAATTGGGGAACCGTGAAGCAGTACCATCACACAAGCATTGTTTACCACCACTGGGTTAAAGCCTGTTCAGCATAGTGACTGCTCGTGCTCTGCCTTAAAATTTCTTGGCCTAATTTCCCCCACCCCACGACTGAATGAAGCAATTTGGATTATATGTTGTAACTTAGAATTGACTGTGTGAAGTGTGAAAGTACTGGAGAAAAACCTCTGGAGTTACAGAACAGGAGAAGGAGGTATATTTAGCCTGAATGGATGGAAACACCCACAGCTGGTGCCAGCTGCCTCAACAGGTTGAAAAACCATCTTTATTTAAGAACTGCCTGCTACCAGAGTCAATAAATAACTAGCATTACAAGAAATACAAGACAGAAACAATAGGCCAGTGGGAGTGGTTCCATTTTAACAAACACTGGTCAAGTTAAGTCACTGGTCCAGTGAAGCCTGAGCACTTGCTGAGCTGTGAGCCTCTCTAAGCTGTGTAGGCCCTGGATGGGGTGGTGGGTAAGTTGGATAGGTCTTGGGGCCAAGGTAGGATGAACCCCATTGAAGGGCACTAATTTGCCAAAGGCTTGGGGCCCTGGGTGAAACTGACCCATTTTTATTTTCTCCAGTTTTCCTTTGTTACCCTGCCTTCCCAGAGCCTACGACCATATATACAAGTCCATGGGGGCATGCTTTAGTTACCAGGTGCCTGTTTCCATGGAACTCTTTGAAGGCCCTTAGAAAAATGGCCATCAAATCCCTTTCCCACTACTCCAGAAGCTTCTTTGGCAACCCCCTTCATGCCCAGGATGAAGCCCAGGTTAGGTCTGGCCCAGAGAGAGCACCACAGGCACGAGGATACTGCTCTCTGTCCAACACAGCCCAGTTGGCAGTCCCATTCTGAACCCAGGAAGAGAAGATTCCTCTGTAGTTGGGGAAGAGATTAAAGGGTTTAAACGTTTTTGGCCATCTTGGGCTCTTGCCCAGAGTCCAGGCTGGAGGCTCTTGGGACTACTAAGATGCCGCATACACTGGGAAGAGCAATGGGTCGTAGCCAGAATTCTGGTGAGCCTACCCCTTTATGAACTCCTTTAAGATGCAGGGACCTCAGCAGATGGGATCTCTAAGACTCCTGTGCCAAACACTTTCTGATTCTAAGAATCGCAGCCCCGAAGGACACTGGGAGCCTCTCCCACACCTCTGGCCACAGCTTCACCTATCTTAGACCCCACGTCAGCAGCTATCAAAATTCCTCCAAGGTCCTTAAAAAAGAAACCTTTTCCTTATTCTAGGATCACATTGCATTAAGTTTCTCTTATTTGTTGTTATCTAATCTCGCTCTCTCCTATTGTTACTTTATCAAAAGAGAAAGATAACCACCCTTCCTCCCTCCCCATGGCCTTGCTACTCGCTGGCACCATCTGTATCTTTGCTGCCCTGAATGAAAGTAGATAATCTGAACTTGCTGGCCCCTAAGACTCCATCTAGAGAGAGCTGCCCTCCCCTGAGGGTGGGGTATACATCTGGACTGATAAAGCAACAAGGACCAGTAGCCACAGCAAGGAGCAAAGGGCTCTGCAGGCTGAGCCCAAGTGTATGGAGAATGGAGGGCACTCATCTCCCTGGGGCCTGAAGAGGTGTTTGCAGGCTGTCTCTGCCCTTAGTCCTTTGGCTGCAAAGCTGTGGGACAGAGTACCCGGTGTAACTTCCTTGGGCTTGGTGTGTCAGAGAAGTGAGAATCCAGACCGAGTCTTGACCATAGAGGGAGCCATGCTCCCTGCCCCCACCAGCCCAATTAAGCAGAGAAAACAAAAGTCAGAGAACCTTGAGCAGGAGGACGTCTAGAAGATACCTAGACTTCTCTGAGTAAGCACATGTACCAGCCACCCAAGCAAGAGGCTGTTCCACTTTACACACTTGCATGTTCTCAAGTCACCTACCACCTAATAAACCTTGGCTAGTACTCTACCTGAAATCTCTAGACTGCAGGAACGTGTGTTTTCATATAGTTCCATGTTCCTCAGTCTGTCAGCACAGCAGTTAGGTTTTCCTGGTTAAAAACCCTTTCTGGGTCTGCCAACAGGTCTGCCTTCCTCCCCTTCTGAATGGACCTCCTGAGAATTAAGGTACTTAGTCCTGAGTAAGTATCTTGTCTCAAGCTAGCTTAGGGGCTATGGCATCCAATTTACCAGCTCATCTGCCCCAGCCCAACAGTTAGACACCTGTCCCCCACTGCAGCCCAAGGCGGTGGGGGAAAGAATCAGTTAAGCCTTGGAAGGAGGTTTGTTTCCTTCAGCATCTTCTTTCTGATAGAGAGCCAGGCAGGCCAAATCAAAGCCAACAGGGACCAGGAAGGACGCTAGACCAAGTTTGGGGACCCTGTTAGGGAAGAATGGTCACATGCCTGAGCCCCTAGCACCCTTGCATATGGGAGTTGGGAACAGGTGAGGAGGATTTGATCAGCCAGCTCCAGAGAAGCTGTCCTGGGGGTGGGTTGGGACATGGGTTTAGTGGTGACAGGGAGAAGGCAAATGAGCTTACATTTTTTAAAAATTGTAACGGGTAAACATCAACACAAACCTGCCCAGGAAAATGGAGCAGGACTTAAAAGTTTAAAAAACCATAACAAAATAGAATTCTAACTGTAAACTACAGAAAACAGGCTCAGGGAGCTTCTGGGGACAGTGCCCTTCAAGATGCCTGTCCCACTGCTCCCAGGGGAGGGCCACCTGTCAAAGCATGGGCTCTGGGGTTTTCTGGTCATACTGCCACTGTTACCTGGATTTGGGGCATCTGTTCTGGCTTTGGCTTCTTTTCTTGGAGTAAGGGTGAGGGGCACTGGGGTCTTCAAGCTAACACTGCATTTTGAGGTCACAGCAGAAGCTAGGCTCAGAAGGCAAAGAAGGACTGGATGTCTCCTGGAATCTGCCTGTCCCTTGGGCTGGGACCCAACCATGCCAATCCCCTTGAAGCAGAATTTTCACACCCCACTGGCCTTAACCACCTTCTTAGCCAGGCCTCTGGATAGACAAAGAGCCTTGAACAGGAAGGTGAGAGAGTCAAATTCTTGTCTTAGCCCCATCACTTATGCGCTGTTTGTGACCTTGGGAAGTCCCTAACCCTGTGGACTTTCAGTTCCTCATCTATAAAGTGAGGGGCTTGTAAAGTTGAGCTCAAAGGTCTCTGCTAACTCTTAACGTTCTGTGACTGGTAATATACCCAGAGCTCAAAATAGGATGTCCCATTTATTAACCCCATTTCCTTCTGGGGAAATGCAAAAGGGCAGTCCAAGGCATTTCTGGGGAGTGGTTCTTGCCATTCCTGGGAGCATACAGGGCCACGTTTATCCTCTGCCTTTCTCAGAAGCCTCCCAATTCCAGGACACAACAAATTAATGCTGTATTACTCTCCCAGGTGGATGAGTCAGTGCTGGGGGGTGGCCGCAGGTCTCAGGCAGAGCTGGTGAGAGAGGCGGGTACACAGTTGGCTGTCTCTAGCCCAAACCCTGGAGGGACTGTGCAAGATGGGTCTTGGTGGGGTGGTAGACCTCCCCGAGACAAGCCCTTTAGTCACCCAGCCACTGTAAGTGGCCATGGCACCCTGGGGGTGACAGGGTCGGGTTGGCAGTGTTGATGAGAGTAACATCACCTGGATTGTGACTGCTTCAGGCCAAGGCTGGTACCCCTTTCCACCAGGTGTCCTGGCCTCTCAACCCTTTTCAGCTCCTACCCCTAGCAGACTGGAATATCCTCCCCAAGAGTCAAAGGAGCTCAGGCTCAAGGCATTGGTTCTGAGCCACTTGGGCAGGCAGGGGCCCTTAGGAAGTCATTGAAGACAGGGTCCAGCAGTGTGGCTCCTCAAGAGGAGAAAGTAGGAAGAGTTCTTAGTTCCAAGGTTTGTCCCTTTTCTTAGACTGAAGGATGGTGAGGCTCGCTTTGTTCCACTTCCTCAGCCCCGTTCGTGTCTGGTGGTCCTGCTGAGCCTAGGCCCCTGCTCTCAAGTGGCAGAGTCCACATGTGGTCCCAGAGTGCCATCTCTGCTGAGTTGAAGATAGGTGTTTAAAACCCCTTCTTCCCCTAGGCCTGCTCCTTCCATCCAGGCACTGTAGAGGGTCCAGGCACAGGGTTTAGTACCATCGTGGAACATTACTGCCTAGTACCTCTTGATTTAATGAAAAAAATCTTCATATGGATTCTAACCCCTGGCAGAATATAAAATATCCTACCTCCTACAAAAAGAGCACTGTTTACAGTAGGTATTTAAAACCAATCATTCTTGGGCACAGTGGTGAGCCACCTTTCAGCAAGAAGGGGCCAGAGCCAGCTGGCTGTGTCTGTCGGAGTTGGTGTCCAGCTGTGGTGCAGAGGGTGGGTGCTGAGATCAGAGCTCCAGGGAGCCTATGAGGACCAGCATCACCGCGGAGTGGGTCAGAATGGTGCCAGGATGCAGCACTGGGTAGACTGCTGAGTTCTCCACCATCATGCTTGTGCCTGAAACCAGCAGGCAGAAATGAGGAGGCTGAGTCAGAGAACCTGGGACCAGCCCAGACCCACCCTTGTGACAGGATCTAGACCTTTCCTAAGAAGACTTACAGAGGGCTAGCTGCGGGCCTGGGAGAGTAGACAGCTAGAAGGTATTCTCAGCCCTCTTCCTACAGCATTTTGTAGGACCTTTGGGGGTGGATAGAAGGTGGGGAGGGGCCTGGATAATCCTAGGACTACTTTGCATTGGTTCCTGTCTGCCTTCCACTTTTCTTCTTGCAATCTAGGTTAGAGGACTTGAGTGGGAATGATCTCTTTACCAGGCATCTGGGTGAACCCTGATTCTCTGAGGGGATAAGGATGGCCAGGGACAGCACCTCCATTTCTCACGATGTGGACTTCTGCCGGGATCCCGTCCCCTCCAGGTCCTGTGGTCCGAATCTGTACCAGGGCATGGCCAATGTCTTCAGGGACCGGTATGTCTATCCAGTTCTTGCTGGTGAGGTGAAGTGTGGGAGTCGGGTGCAAGTCATTCTGGTATAGCATCTGTGGGAAGGAGGTTTCTTTCTAAGTGGAGTTTTCTTACACCGAGGCTGATCCTTCTGTCTTCCCCAGCTCTAGACCCTGGAAAGAGCGCCTATAGTTCTGAGTCCTTGCGGTCCAGCCCCCTCACCCCTCCTGTTGCCCAGTGACCAAGCTTGTTGGTGGAAGGAAAGCTTGCAAGCAGCTAAATATTTTTGCAGATTTCTTAGGCTAGAAGGACTCCTACATTCCACCCAGTCCATCACTGCTCCCGTAAAATCCACCTCTCCACAGTGGTACCATCTGCTTCTGTTTTGATAGTTTCTCATTATAAGTTACCCAAAGAATCATTTATGTACTTCATGCCACTCACGGTCACAAACCCTTTGCTTATATGTCACTCAGGTC